CTAAATTGATTTATGTAAAAAAATTACTTTTGAAAAAATTGTCAATTTGGTCCCTTTTCCCAGCTCCTAGCCCATATATATGGAATAGAAACTATTTCGGCATTGCCGAAAGTATTTCGGCATTAATTTTTGGTATGAAATATCGGAGTTATTTCGGATATTTCATATCAAAAATCAATGCCGAAATACTTTCGGCAATGCCGAAATAGTTTCTACGCCATGTATAGCTGATCGTCGATCCGCCAAGTTAAATTGACAATCTTCTGATTGGTCGTTATTCTATTTTTAGAGCACTATCTCCAAATCTTAAAATCTCAATATTTTATTAATATAAAATAAAATGTGTGCTTCATATAAACAAAAAACAATATTTTAATTTGAATTGAAAATCCAAAAAGTGCCGAAGGCACATCAGGAAAAGTTAAAACCTGATTATAATCGATTAACATCACCGTCGATTAAATACGAAAGAGATTTTTATTATTATGAAACTAATCGATTATTATTGATTTATTTAAATCACTTGTAATCGATATATATGTGTATTGATTATAATCAATTTTAATTTAAATTGTTGAAATAACTGTTTGTAATTGATTATCAGGATTTATACTTTTCCGATGTAGTCTATTCCCCCAATACTCAAAAACCAGCGTTTAAATCGACTTGGTGCACTTAGTTCATTTATGAAATCGGATTTTCTTTTTTGGGATGGCACCTTCCGGGGTTTCCGATTTTTAATTAATATTAGCGTTAGGGTTAGGGTTAGGAGGTTAATAGATATATAGTAAAATCACATTTCCGACACTTTTACTTAGTGCATTAAGACCGGTTTAGATAGTTATTTTTATATTTTCGTGTTTTTGTCTTTGTCGTTTTGTTCGGAATAATCCGGGACACATCGTAAGGTGCCAGGCTTTAAACTACCCCTTTTTTTGGTTTTGAAAATAAGTGACCCGGGTAATAACCACCTGGTCAAATCACCAAATGTGATCCTCGGGATCATCGAATTATCAATGAATCTTTGTCTGCAATAGTGAATCATAAAATGAGGTAAATATCAAAACGTAATTTTCATAAATATATAAAACCTGTCGTTTCAACGTTCAAAATGGTAAATAAAACATTTATAACCTATATAACGAAATCGTAGTTAAACAAAAATATATAACCTATATAACGATAACGAAATCGTAGTTAAACAAAAATGAACCTTCGTTTTAGTTTTGTAATTTTAATACTTGCAAGCATTGGTCAAATTCTTGCCGATGACTGCAAACATTGGAGAATTACTTCTCCAACAGAAGAGGGCTTAATATGGACCGCGGGTCAATCTTATGCTGTTTCTTGGGATGGTACCGGCTCCAAAGTACAAACAGTTGACAAAGTTGATCTTTATAATGATAATGACGAGTTTGTTGTTAATGAATGGCAAGGCCCTGTTCCCGTTGGCAAATTGTGGACAGAAAACTTCCCACTTCAAGCTCCTGACGACGGATTATATTACTTCAAGGTTACTGCAACCTCATCTAGCGGCGGCAAATGTTTTTTTGGATTCTGTCAGGTTTACCGTGCAAACTTAAATACCTCCTCAAAGCCTTCATACCCGCTTTCGTATGTCCTGCTTCCACCGCTAGGTCCTTGTAATAACATTTCATTTTATGCTTCTTATTGTGGCCTTCTTAATGTTTAATTATATATCAATTATTAAATAGTTTAAATTACATTAAGCTTCCCTATTATAGTTGAACTTTCCAAAATGTTCTTGCAAAATCGATAACCTATTAAATCTGATAAAAAATTAATTCACCTAGTCTGTTTCTGTTATATAAATCTAATAATTTATTATGTTTTCAAATCTAATAACCTCTCAATATTAATACAAAACCTGTACACTGTGTATATCAGTTTTGAGAGATTCAAATGTATCGGATTAATTTAAATTTAATTAAATCAAATCAATCTTTATTTGATTTGAAATAAAAATTTAAATTTTAAATTTGGTTTGATTCATAATTATAAAAATTTTAAAACTTTGTTTATTACAAATGAATTTCCCAAAACTGATTTTGTCAAAACTTATAATCTATCAAATCTAATAAAAATTTGATTCACTTAGTCTGTTTCTGTTATATAAATCTAATAGTTTATTATATTTTCAAACCTGATAACCTCTCAAGACTGATACAAAACCTGTCTACTGCTCATATTAGTTTTGAAAGGTTTAGCTGTAATTAAAATTATTAATTTATAAAAGATTATCTTTGAAAAATATATATTTGTATATATTTTAATTCGGTCTTTAATCTCAAGTCCCTTGAAATTTACCAAGTTAATCTTAATAATTTAAACCTTCTTTACAACTTTATTTAAAAATACAAAAATTTTTGCTTAGTAAAATTTTTAAAAGATTGCTTTAGCCAATTATTTAACTGCTTCAAAGCATTAATCTTTTAATTTAGAAAAACATAATAAAAAATTGTTTAACATTGAATTATAAGTTTCTTTAACATAAAATGATTAAATATAAACCATATACCGAAATAAGCACTACACCCTCTACCTATCTCAGATTGACGAGAATAACCTAAAGATTTTATTGTATCACCACTACTGTATTATGAGATTGAAATCAGGGGTACCGAAAATTCAATTGCAATTAAATTATTACACAATTACATTCAGTGAATTTGAAGATCAATAAAAAAAAAAAGTAATCACGATTTCTGATTACTGATTTCCGATTTCTTCAACATTTTTTTGACTTTTAGATAGACAAAATTTGTGTAGTTATTATTTTGTAAAAATTTATTATTTTTATGGAAATAAAAGTTGCATACTCATCATTTTGTAATATATTTGCAGAAATAGGAGTTGCGAATTA